CCTCCCTCCCTCCCTGCAATAATCATTCACTGAGCAGCTACTGTATGCCATGCACTGGGGACACATCTGTCAACAAGACAGACCAGGCTCCTACACTCAAAGAGTTCTTATTTTAGGAGTGGTCAATCAAAGGTTGAGTATAGTAAACTTTTTTAGTCCCATTTCTACTTTGAAAACATGCATTCAGCTTCCCTCAAGCATAATATGTTAGTAATTTTTTTCTAAGCATTCTGATTAAAAAGTTATTATTGGAAACAAAAAATATATAGCTAGCATAGAAAATACCTATTAAAATACATAGACTCAACACCTGTCAGAGCTAGAAGGGACCTGAGAAATGATCCAGAATAACCCACCTACTCAATTCATTCTATAAATGTGTGTCAGGACTAAAGCCCCTTTATTTCTGACAGTTATATAGCCTGTGTCATCCAACACAGTCGCCACAATATGGCTATTGAGCACTTGACATGTGGCTGGTCCCTTCTGAGATGTGCTGTGAGGATAACACACGCCCCATTTTGAAGGCTCAGCGCGCGCGCACACACACACACACACACACACACACACACAAGAATATAACATACCTAGTCCTGATATATTGGGTCTACTAGTTAAATGATAGTAACTTAACCTCACCTGCTTTGTTGTACTCTTTGAGCATGGCTACTGCAAAGTTTAAAACTACACGTGGGACTTGCATTATTGTGCTGCTGGACAGCACCGACTTAGCCACTTAGGGCTCACACACCTCCAGTGACAGAGAACTCATGTCTCAGGGCAAAATACTACACCTTTGGATAGCTCTGCCCCTCTTAAAAGTAGCACTTCTCCATGCTAGAGATCAGCCTCTCTGGGTACGCAGACGGACTAACATTCTCATGACGGGTAGACTTGGCAGCAGGTCTGGTTTCCCGTGTAGCTGAACAACGGGAAATGCCCTCGTCTTGTTTCCAAACCTCCCATAATGCGCCACCCCCCAGTCCTCTCAGGACTGTTGGAGTGGTTCCTTCCCAAAGGAGCGCGTTTGATTCTAATCTGCTTCGTCTGACCTCTGAGTTCTTACACTGCGTGCACACACCCGTGGGACTCACGGTAAACAATGAAACATGATTTGTTGAATGACTGACATGAGGTATGGGAGGGGAACGGTAACTCCATGTTATACAGAGACAGAGGTATTGTATCACTCACACATATCTGTCTACATATAGATGATGTCTGTGGCCCCTGAAACTAATAATTTTCTTTTCTTGCAGAAAATGAAATTTCAGAACACACTCTAGAAAGTTACAGATCAAGGTCAAATAATGAAGAAACATCATCCCAGGAGAAATATGGCCAAAGTAAGTCTACATGTGACCTGAGGTTTGAACACTGAGGTTCATTGATTTGTTGCCTTTCAAGGGGAGCCTAAAAATAAAAATTTGATTTTTAGCAGTATAAAGCCGCCTGCCTAAATCGTCGTGTAGAACTTAAGGAAGTGTACCTTAAAAAATGAAAGCATCAGTTGAGTTCATGGGGCTGGCGATGTTGGGAAGCCTTGTGGAGTCCTCGCCGACACACGGGCACAGCTCTGGACTTGTCCCTCCCGTGCCCCAGAGTACCCGGTAGACTCTGCCCTGTCCTCATTTTGGGTATATTGATTTAGCTACGACAATACTCCTGCAGGCGGTAATTGGATTTGCTCTCTGTGTATCCCCGGATCCCAGCACAGGACTTGGCACAAATGGAGTGTTTAATAAATTGTATTGAATAAATGAATACAGGGCTTAACTCAAGCAGAAATGCATCAGATTTTTTGGATGACTTCATTGCAACTCCTCAAAGTATATAAAGAAAAAAAATTCATTTTAAATGTATCTTTATTGTTAAAAGTATTACAGACGTTCCCTTTCCCCCCATTGACACCCTGCACCCAGCACCACCCCCCCCAGGCCTTCTCCAGACTATCCTCTGGGTCCATAGGTTATGCATATGTGCATATAATTTCTTTGATTAATCCCCCCCAACTCCCCACCCACCTTCCCTCTGAAATTTGTCTGACTGCTCCATGGGTCTACATCTGTTTGAAACAGAGTCTAAAAGGAAAGGGGGGGAGGGAGGGAGGAAGGGAAGGGGAGAGAGAGAGAGAGAATTCCTGACAAAGATCCAGTAGAGAGAAGTAAATGTAAAGCAAGCACCTTATACCTCCCAGCATTTTGCTCCTCGGTGCACATGCACTTACTCTGCCCACCAGGAGGAGCAAGGACTGCAGTGAGCTTTGCAGCTAGTTTCTATCGGTTTCGTAGGAAGTGTGTCTTTTACAATTCTGCCTTTTCTTTTGACTTAACAGGGTGTAAAATGGAAAGAAAGGGCTGTACTAGCAGGGAAGGGGCACAAGTGAGGGGACTGTGTGGGGATGGGGGCGGGAGGAGAAATGCCTCTGCTGCGGTGCGGGCCTGCAGCCCACGTTTCCCTGACATGAGCTCCCTCGAACCGTCTGGCACGCAGAACGCTGCCCACATATCGTGTGAGTGGGGCTTCCTGCGCCCATCCTCCCTGGAAGGCAACCCCAACAGGAGAATTACAGCCTTTCAGGAAAGAAACACCCTCCGCTTGGCTGCTGAACAAGCAGAAGCCCCTCCAGGCCGACTTTAAGAAAATGTGAAGTGAGCGCCTGCACTCAGGCCTGCTCCCTAGCCAGGGCCAGCCAGGGGCCTGCCGGCCAGGGCCCCGCTTTCTCCTGGGCTCCCGCACCCCCTGAGCCCTCCAGGCTCTGCCAGAGCGGCAGGGCCCAGAGCTCCTTCTCCCATAGCCCCGTTCCTTCCTGAGTGAAACTCGGCTGAAGACACTGTGGTTTTCCCAGCAACACATGCTACTTTATAGCAGAAATGTCCATATATTTTATTTCAGGTGTATGAGTATAATTTTTATTTAACAAGAGCTTTTAAAAGTTAGACTATAACATGTGTTTAGATCACTTATATGCATCCGAGAACTTCAGATTCAATTTTTAATACCTTAACATATGGACCTAAAAATACCATGTACAGTGTTTCAGATAAAGGGGTGCAATGCTGTTCAAGATGAATCCTTATCTTCGACATGTTTCTCTTTCAGCTTCCCGTTCGAAGAGCTGCATGGACTACATCACACAGCTGTACTCAGAAGCAAAAACACACAGGAAGAAAAACACCCAACATACAAAATTAAAAGGAAAGCAGGCCTGGATACCAGAGAGCATTGTGTAGAGCTCCCTGCAGCAGGAAACAGGACTTCAGGGCAAGCTCAGGGCCACCGCAGTGGACAGCTTGTGGGCAGGGGCCCGGTCACCGTGACAGGAAGAATGTGCTTTGAGTGGGACGCAAGATGGTGTCCTTCATGGCAATCAGCTCTGACCCAGAGCAGCCAAACAGGACTAAACATGGACATGAAGCTTCTTAGTTAAAAGGATAAATTACCTAGTGTGCCTGACACTACTTCAGAGCAGGAAGACGCTACTGAGCCTGGGGGCCTGGGTCACTGTGACCCGCTGACATGGCGCATGGCGCTGTGGGGCACAGCCTTAGGTGGAACTCATGGAACTACTTAAACATTAAGATTTTAATCTTTCCTTCTGGTCTCCAAATAAGGAATGTTGCGATGAAAAGGACCTAACGGAGGTCTCTAGTCCTGGGAGCTTACCTTCAAGAGGGGCTCTGAGCTGTAACCAGCAGGCTCACCGTCAGGGGGAAGAGGCACCCGAGGACCAGTGGCTGGGTGAGCACAGCAGCCGGAGACAGGAGTGACTCCAGGGAGGCCAAGGAGTCCATCTCCTTAGGTTTTCTTGCTAAATCACAAAAGTTGACCTGGTGACAGTTTTTTTTAATGACATTTCCTTACAAAAACATGTAAGCAATGAGTTTAATTCACTGAGTATTGACCTAATGGATGCTTTTAAAAAGTATTTAACAGAGCACAGAGTGCTGGACATTTGTTTTTCTAGCATTTCCTAGTCTCGCCTTCACATGTGGAGGTGACATTGGGCATATCTTTCCCCCCTATCATTTATTTAAAGTAGAGTAAAATCTGGCATTTATTTATAACATTTCTCATTGCTTGGATCTGAATACGCTAATTCTAAAATAACGTCCCCCCCCGCCCCTGCCCCAACCTACCACACACACTCATATAATGAGTTTGTAATTTGTTACAGGGTCAGATCCAGTTGTGCTACTTATTCTCTTGATAACATTTTTCAGTCCTTACCCCAGGAT